GGGATGGGGGGAGGGAGGGGAGCCTGGGTCCCCTTGGCACAGCCCCCGTGGGGTGGCTGGGGACCCCTGCCCTCTCCCCAGGACACGGCTTCCCTTCACTTCCACGCGGGCCTGGCCCTGGACCCTCAGTTTCCCACTCTTTAAAATGGGTCCAACAGTACCCACCTCCCCAAGCCACAGGAATGGGGGCTGCAAGCACAGGCTCCTTTTTCCCCTCCCACAAAGCAGAGATACACTGCTGTGCACATGCCAAGTGTGGGGGGGGGGGGGGGGGGGGGCTGCTAAAAGCCCCCCCGTGGCTTCCAGAGTGACCTCGCCGGCCCGATGCGCCTACTGCGGTTGTGCCATGGAGGCAACTGGGAGAGGGGTGAAAAATAACTGCAAAAAGAAATAAATAAATAAGATCTGCATTTAGAAGCCACGTATTTAGCAGCGCTGGGGGAGGGTGAAGAGGAGCGATCCCTGCTCCGCCAGCCTCCTGTCCTTGTTCAGCGCCCAGTGGCCCGCAGGCCTGGTGGGGGGCACATCGCTGCCTGCTTCTGCAGCCAGGGGGCGGGTGGCATCATGTGCCCGGGTCAGTGAGGCTTGGACCGTCCCATTCTCTTCAGCAAAGAAAGGCAAATGCTTTGCAAAGAAAAAAAGCCAAAGAAGCTGGGAGCTGTGCTGGTGCCAGCGTCAGAGAGGGAGGCGCAAAGGGACCTGCCCAAAACCCGGCAGGCCATCTCCGTGCTGCGCGGTGGATTGCCGCCCTGTGTGCTAGAGGGAAGCGCTGTCTGGCCCCCAATACATGTGTGGCCTGGAGGGGCCACGGGTCTGTGCTGCTGAGGCGGCATCGATTCGAGGGAGAAGTAGGGGTGTAAACGCGGGTGGACATCTTGGGGCGGACAGGCAAGCTGCCTGGGGAGCAAGGCACTACTGTGCAAAGCCGCAGCCAAGGTTGAGGGACCAGAGCACAAAACCCTGATTTTTCAGGGCCAAGGTTTCCTTTGCTCCAAAACAGAGGGACTTTCAGCTGCACTTACAGGGTTTGCCAGCCCCAGAGTCCATTTCCCAAGGACCATCTGGGATGCACTGTGGGATAACGCCTGACCTACAGTGCTGTTGCAGCACAGAGCAAGGGAGCAGGGCTCAGAGTCACTGCTTCGAGCAAGGCAGAAGATGCAACAGCTCCTCCCCGCCCCCGTGAGTTCTCCAGTTGGAAAACAGCAGGGTCCCGGCCCTAATAACTGGGTGCCCAAGTAGCATTCTCAGCCTTCGTTAAGCTCCAGGCACCTCGAGATGCTAATGAGTCTTAACAGCCATTGGCCTGCGCTGCACCATGCCCCAGCTGCTGCCACGCTGGGGGGCTTCTAAAAACCAGGCAGCTCCAAAATCACCTCCACGTCCGCATCCGTGTGTCGTGGGGGATGGCGTGCGAACGAATGAGGTACCAGCTTGCAGTCTGTACCACGCTCCGTCCTCCACTGCCAGTCGCCAGTAGTGAGGCATGGGCGAGGACGGTTCAACATGTACATCGTCTTTATTTGTACAACGATAAAGAACGAGGGTAGCGCTTCGACTGGTCTCACCTAGGATTAGCTCTGCTAATTGGTATTGCTAGAAATTTAGTTTCAGGGCCAGGTGGGGCTGGGGGCAAAGAAGAGACCGCCCCAAACATAAAACCAGGGAACACCTATGTTTAGACGTGAAAGCTTTCCAGTCTTTTGAAGACGTGGCTGCCCCAGTTCAGAAGCGTGGGGCTCGGAGGAGCAGCTCCCCACAGCCCTCTCCGGTCTGCCCAGCCCGCCCGGGGTTGCACAGCAGCTGTCTTCATTGCCAGCACGAGCAGTCTGCTGCTCTAAGGATGACCTGGCCAGCAGAGCGCAGACCGGAAGCCCTGGGACTGGCTTGTAGGAGGACTCTGGCAGGTGGGTTTTTGGCTAAGAGGTGGGCTGGCCCAGAAGGAAGAGAACCCACCTGGGTTGGGGATGCCTGGCAGATGTAGCAGCATCAGGGCTTTTCCCAACAGGCACAGGGGAGACGTGTTACGTAGCTTCCACGAGGAAGAGAAGAAAGGAGGCAAAGGGAGAAGGAAGAAAAGTGGCACAAAATTGAGAAGTGTAAACTTTCCTTCGTTAACATCTAGCTACTTCCCTACAGTCCTGCTACGGAGCCGAGCTTCTGGGGGAGGCAGCGCGGGCGCCCTCAGGAACCCGCCCCCTCGGGCTGGCTGGACCGTGGCTTGCGCTGGGGGAGCCCCTTGGCCTCGGTGCTGGGCGGGCAGGACCGCAGCTGGGCCGGGGGTACGGGCTGCCGCGGCTCTGAGGGGGTCGTGCTGTTGGCTCCTGTGGAATGAGTCTGGCTGAGATCGCTCGTGCTCCCCGGAGGTCGGGATGGGGGATTCTGGTACCTGGCGCTGGACTGATACCCGGGCCCGCTCCGGGGCCGGTTTGCATGGTCGTATCGGCCAGGGTTGGAGGGGCCACTGTGGCGCTGGCCTTGGGGCCTGTAGCCTTGTCCTGGTCTCCTGTTTCCCTGGAACAGAAAGAAGGGCTGGTGAGCAATGCTGGCGAGCCAGCTCTGGGGGACTGGGAGCCTGTGCCAGCACCTGCTGGCATGGTCTCGTAGAGAGGTGGCTGTCACACACCCTCCTTTGGGAGGGGCTGGCACTGGCTCTCATGGGCCCCTGACAGTCAGACACCGCACCACAGATCCTCCAACCATGCAGCAGGCTTTGCTTGGTAACTGCTTCTATTGGGCCGGGTTGTCAGACAAGCCTGGGCACAGAGCACCTTTCTCAGGCCTGGGTCGGCAGTTGGCGCTCTGTACCCACCAGTGCGGTTTAACCGTGACATGAGTGCAAGCAATCAAGGATCCTTCTAGCCCCTTTCTGGGGGCCTCAGTCACTGTTGTGCCCTCTTGCCCCGTCACCAGGGTGCAGCTTTTCATGGCACTGTGCTGGGACAGACTCCAGCAGGACTGAATAATACAACACAGCTAGGAAACCTCCCTGAGAGGGACACGAACACCTCTGCTGCAAAATGGCAGGGAAGCAGCCACTTACCTCTCGCTGAGGCTGGTATGGACGGCTGCTGGAGTTCACTACGGCTGCAGGTGCATCCGTGGAGGGTGGGGGCTTCTTGCTCCCGGTCGTAAGGCTTGGAGCAGAGGCAGAGGCACACTCAGGGGTGGAGGGAGCGGAGGCTTCACTCGGGCTGCTCAAGGACATGGATGCGACAGAGCTGCACCGGGAGCGGGTCGAGTAACTGTTCTTTGGGTGAGAGACTGAAAACAGAGGAGACAAACAGGTCACAGGTAATTCAGCACCCCTAACCCTAACCCTCTCCCTTGAACACCCATGCTGCCGCCTATAGACCGTATGGTATGGGGACCTATCTGGAGGCTTCTCCAGTGCGACAGCAAACGGTGCCCAGTCCCCCCGCAGCCCCTGTGCCCCTTGCACCGCCTCACCTTGGCCAAATGAGCCGATGCTCTTCTTGAGCGTGTCTAAGTCGCAGGTGAACCGCGCCACCCGCCCCAGGTCTTCATCGTACTTGCGCTCACTAACAAAGTGCTGAAACAAGAGGGAGCACCTACACGTTAGTGCTAGGCCCAAGTGAAACGCACTGTGCAAGAGGGAAAACAGGGCTCCAGGGCGGAACAAGCCCTTGGGCCCAGGCCCAGCACAGTTAAGAGGGCCGCTAGCAGTGTGGGGCCTCGCACGCCGCTTGCCCACATGCATATGTACGCTAGTAAAGCATGTCTCCGTCTCCCAGCACATGTCACTCACTCACTCAGGCTCCACAACTCTCCTGTGGATGCTGTCAGCAAACAGGAGGAAAAAACTGGGTTTAGGAGCTAATAACACAGGGAGAAACTGGGCACAGGACTGATTTCAGACGGGATTTTAAAAGACCCCTTCAATGGCTCGGTGCTGACCTCTCGTGGTGGAGGAAATGTGGGCGAATGCCAAGTTTTAAGAAACGTGAAAGCAGAGGGCTCTAGTGGGTCAGAGCCTCGGTGGAAGGAAGTCACAAGAGGGTGGGGGCAGCAGGACACTGCCCGACAGACCAGGGCAGACTATGCCCTGCGTGCTAGAAGGCTGAACTGTGCCAACGGCAGCTTGGCAAACCAGACATCATGAAGGAGATGCAGGACCAAGTGTGCCATAGCTCGCAGCACCGTCCTGGCCAGCAGACACGCGGTACAGAAAGGAGTCTGCTTCCCTCTCCCTGGGGGTTGCACTGAGCACGTTCCCCTGTCACAGGCGAGCGCGGCCAGACAGGCCACGTAACACTGAGGAAGAGAGGAGCTCACCTTAATGTCAGCTCTGAGCTCGACCAGCTGCTCCTCTGACATCCGCACGGCCACATCCGTCATCTTCTTTAAAGCCTCTGCTTTCTTTTGTCGGCTGACCAGGATTTCCACTGCAAAGGAGACCATGAGCTTATGAAGCACTGTCGATGGGGAAGGAGGAATCCATCCACTGAGAGTCTAATTCCTCCAGTTCTGCCACAAGGCAGCCCAGGGGGAAAAGGGGTGACCGGGCACCAAAGTGCAGAGCAAAAGGACTGGCTCACAGGGCTCTGCCTCCCTCTCCAGCTGCAGGGACTTGCAGATGCACACACTGCTCCGAACCAAATCGAACACCTCTCGGTCTGGGCAGAACGTTCCCATCTGGTAGAATTTGGGCACCCCCAACCTCATCTAGGGACTCCAGGTTTGTGAGCTGCATTGAGGACTTAGTATTTTGGGGGTTGTTTCTCTTCTCTACCAGGCTTTTGGGATGCCATGCGGGGTACCACACAGATAAAGGCACGAACTGCAGCACTGAGCTGGACGCCGAGTGGCTGTGGAAGTGGATTGTGACAGGAGCTAGGCAGCTTAAACCTCAACTTTGGCTGCAGGGACAGAGGGAACTGCTGGGCTTGAAGAGGCTGGGAAGGAAGATACCAATCAGAACTGGACATCGCCCTGTCCCGCAAGGCTCCCCTTGCAGAGAAGAGCACCCAAGGAAAGCTGCGCACACAGTGCCTGGCAGTTTCGCCTCACCCCAGCTTTCACCTTGCGGAGCCTCTGCTTGAAGAAAGGAGTGGTCCTACTGACCCCTGGACTGCTGAAATCTAATGTCTTTTGTTCCTCATTTGTACAGTGCCAAGTACCACGGGGTCCCGATCTGTGAAGTGGAGGCTCCTGGGCCCACAGCATCATCATCGACTTGTGCCCTGTGAGTTATCTACACTGCACAGGGCGTACCTGTGAGACCTGAGGAGCTGCCCTGGTTAACGAGGCTACTGGAAAGCAATCAGAAACTAGCTGCCCCGTTTTCATGAAAGGCAGAGTGCTCGTTTAGGTGGTGCCAGCATGTCTCTACCCAAACACAGGATAAAATAGGCAAACAGTCTGCTCCCTCCAACCTGATTCCTTCCTGTTCAGCCCAGACAGTTTCAGCTGACTGGCAGGTGCTAAACTGATTTTCAGTACAACTCCAGGCAAAAACAGAGGACATCCAAGAGGAATTTATGCTCTCCGCTTCAGCCTACGCATTTGCTGTCGTCGGGGCCCTTTTCCTAACCCTGCAGAATTAGCACACTGCAGGGAAAACAATGATGTGGAGAAGCTCTAATACCTAACCACCAGCTAGATACTGTCATGCAGGAAACGTCTCCGCGTTTCAATTGGCTACCCAGTTCTATCAGCTAAATCAGGCGAAGTCTTGGCGGCACGAGAAGATTCACCCAGTCTTAAAACCACCCTGAATAAATTACGCTTCAATACAAAAAGAAGGGTTGTAAATAAGGGCTATCATCTGGCTAAAAGTCACGTTTAAAAAGAAGTTTCCTTAGCTTCAGGACGCCCCAGATTTTAACCACCAAAAACCTGCTGCTCACCACTTACTGTGCTCATTTCTTTTAGCTCAGAGAGCTAATAAAAAGGGGCTAGTCGACTGCCTCCTGTCCTTCGCCTGCACTTACACAGAAGCACGGACTGCAGCCACAACAGAGGGATGGCTACTTCTGTAAGAGAAACCTTCCACTGGAACTGGACAAATCTGGTAAAACAGTAAAGGCATAAAACTAATAGGGGGAAGCTATGGTGTGTGTCCCATCTAAATGCCGTTGTAACCTGCAGAACAAAGCTGCCCTCTCGAACGGGCCCTGCTGTGTGCCTGTGTTGTGTTTGTTCACCAGAGAAGGGTATATCTCAGAAGGCGAACTGCCCATTCTGCTCCCACAGGAGCGCGTCAGACATCAACAGCTTTTGAGACCAGGCTTTTTTTTAAACTGAAAAAATCCATGTCTTACTTGCTTCTGCCTTGACTTTGTCCATTTCGGCTAGTAATGCCACCTCCCGATCCAT